AAAAACTGACTTTGAAAAATAAATCTGTTCTTTTTTTCTTATAAAAGGCTAAATAAAACAAAAATATTGTTGGTAATTTTTGACTGTGTAACTTTACAAACGGCACCCCATAACTGTTCATCTCAGTGATGTGAAAATTTTTTTACAGTATGTTGTCAACGTATTTTTGCAAAATTACATTCATATTTATTACAAAAATTTGATGTCACAGGCACTTTCAATCTGTCCTGATAGTAAAACACCGGACCTGAAAGACGGTGGAGTGTTTATATTAAAATGTTGGAGCCCGCAGAGCGCACGCTGGGGTTAGGATGATCACTTCACTAAAATAATCCCTGTGGTGTTCCAGAGATGTTTTCAGTTTCTGTGTTTTAACGGACAAAAACAGAAGTTTGTAGAGAGGAGCATGGATCCTGGTGATCATGTGAGAAACAAAGGGATGAATTAAAGCAGCTCAGCAGCAGCAGCAGCTTTGGATTGAAGAGCTCCATCAGTCTGAGGATGGAGGGATAAAAGCTGCAGAGAGAGTGGGAGTTCTGCAGAAAAGAGCCTTTAATGAGCCTCTGACTCAAAACTTCCAGTCACGACTGATGCTGCGTATTGTTTCAGCCGGTGTGTGAGGTACTAGGTTGTTTCAGGTTCCATGTGCACGTACGTCCTCACACACCTTTCATACACACACACACACACACTCACCTTCAGACCACACACACCTCCCTTTGCCCAGAGAATGATGTCAGATCAGGTTCAAGAGGTCAAGTTTGGTTCTTTTTTTTCAGCCGTGAGAATAAAAACTGAGAGAATAAAACATCTGCATCTTCATCATCAATCCATGAACAAAACTCTGAGAACAGAACCAGAACCACAAAAAAAATAAATGAAAAATAAATAAAAAACTGCTCATCTAACTAATGCTTAACTCACAGAAATAACCTGTTTTATCTGGAGGTGTTCCACCTGAGGCAGGTTAGAAAAAACATTTTTACACTTTAACAACCTGATTAATCCCACATTTCACCACTTTAACAACCTGATTAATCCCACATTTCTCCACTTTAACAACCTGATTAATCCCACATTTCACCACTTTAACAACCTGATTAATCCCACATTTCTCCACTTCAACCTGATTAATCCCACATTTCTCCAATTTAACAACCTGATTAATCCCACATTTCTCCACTTTAACAACCTGATTAATCCCACATTTCTCCACTTCAACCTGATTAATCCCACATTTCTCCAATTTAACAACCTGATTAATCCCACATTTCTCCAATTTAACAACCTGATTAATCCCACATTTCTCCAATTTAATAAGCTGATTAATCCCACATTTCTCCGATTCAACAACCTGATTAGTCCCACATTTCTCCACTTTAACATGATTAATCCCACAGTTCTCCACTTCAACCTGATTAATCCCACATATCTCCACTTCAACCTGATTAATCCCACATTTCTCCAATTTAACAACCTGATTAATCCCACATTTCACCACTTTAACAACCTGATTAATCCCACATTTCACCACTTTAACAACCTGATTTATCCCACATTTCTCCACTTTAACAACCTGATTAATCCCACATTTCTCCATTTTAACAACCTGGTTAATCCCCCAACATTTCTCCACCACAAAATCTGATTAATCCCACTTGAATTCGTAATCTGAGTTGTTTGAATCCACACCCAGCTGCAGCAGATAATCACACGTTAACAGAGAGCATCTTTTGTTCTCGCAGGAGACGGATGAGCACCGTTCATCAGCTCCTGGAAATCTGCCTCTTTCTTTCATTCCTCGCCTTCGTCGCCAGGGCAACCGGTAGCCAGAGGCCATTATTCTTAATAGCTACCTCGGGCCCCTAAATGTCTGAGTGTGCACCGAGTGCGGCAGCTTCAAACTGCACAAAGCCCTGCGATGCGAGGCGGAGCTCGATCTGCTGCTTCTCAGAGGACACCAACATGTACCCAGTCACGGAGCAGAAGCAGACACAGAGTCACAGAACATCCTGGTTCTGGAGCTTCTTCTTCCTCCCATGAGTCCTGGAGACGAGGCCTCCTGACTCAGACTGCCAGCTGAGCAGCATGACTCAGCAGTTATTGAAACTGGAAACGATGATGGTGAGGATGCTGAGGACCAAAGGTTCTCCAGAGGAAGATGAATAAAACATGAGGATATTTAAAAAAAGGCAGGGACACAAACCAGAGGATGAGGACCGGGAACTGAAATATGTTTGATTAAAAACAACGTAAAACAACCTGAAACCAAACGACTCTCACAGGATCAGACAGGATGTGATTCCCTCCATTAAATCAGGAGTCAGTGGACAACAAAATGAAATTAAAACTATTTGAATCAAAATCATTTCAGGGCTGAGACACGCTGGATGTGATGAAAACAAAAAAATCAAACTCACTTCTTCCTGCCGTCGTATCGTCCTGTTGTTCCCACGCTCTGTGAAGGCAACACGAGAGAAAACCATCAGCTGGCATGTAGAACATAGAGCGGCTGAAAGTAAATTAATCCTTTCATTTCCCACAGAAACTGACTGCAGTCACAGACAAACGTTTTTATCTTTAATAAAAAAGAAAACTATGAAGGTTTTAAACACATCAGTTAACCCGGAGCACCACCAGGCTCTGCACTCGGCCCGCTGAAGATTCACTGATGAATGGGTACCACTTTACAATAAGGCTCCCCTTATAAAGAGTTTATAGATAGGTTATTAATTCATCTGTAAAGACGTTATGAATCATTAATAAATGTTTATTATGCAATAATTAAGGACAAGAAACACAAAACCGTCCAGTTTCTTACCAAATAATGAGACAAATCTGTTACATATTACATCTAAAGGTGCTATGCTAAACATTTCACACTAGGTTACTACATTGTAAGTACAATATTAATATGTATGTGTTTCTTATTGTTTATGTACTTACAATGTACTTACTATATTGTAAGTACATAAACAATAAGAAACACACACATACTAATATTGTACTGTATTACTGCATTATTAATATTCACAACTATCAAAGGGAGACCTATCGTAAAATGTAATACAGTACGCTATTTAATGACAAATAAACATTTATAAATGCCAAAAGTTAGTCTTTAATGTGAAAAATCATCATTTTTAAAACTTTGTGTTGATTATCAATATTTGAAATTATTGTTCAACCATGTAACTACTGTTAACAACGTTGATGTATCAAAAAAGTAAAAAAAATGTCATGTTAACACACCAAATAATTTCACCCCATCCAAAATAGTGTACAGTTTTACACTTTACAATACTGATCCCTTTAATATGTGTGGATATTTATAATGCAGTAATACAATACTATATTACATGTTAAAATATGCGTTTCCTAATATTAAAAAGAAAAAATTTGTATAGGTCTTCTGGACGGGTTCTTCTCTAATGAAACGTTTC